CCGCCTTAAGCTATAAACCGCTATAGTAAAAGACAGGGAAGAGCTTCTGTTCCTAGAAATAATAGAAGACTAGAAGGAGTATAAGGTTAAAAACATTATTACTTACCTTAGCAAAGGTTTGCAGACCTAGTTCCTAGTAAAATAAAAAGGCTAGCTAGCTAAGTATAATACTTAGGAACTAGAAGAGCATTTAGCGCACGCTAGCTACAAGTTATAGTCTTATTAAAAGACTGTAAAACACACTTATAAGAAATAGAAAGACTATAAGGCAACAGCTAGCTGTATGCTAACTAATTGTTAGTTAACTACTCTAGCTATTTCTTACGCAATTACGCACTATAAACTACTTGTTCTAGCTCTAAGGGCGCCCCTTAAAGCTGTAAACCTAAAATATACTATTAAAGGGCTATTGCTTAGCTACCGGCTACTCGTTGCTATCCTTCTTCTTTAAAGACGTCCTCTTAACCCTTTTATCCTCCTCCTTACCGCTAGGCAAGCCTTTACTAACTAGCATATAGTTCTTACTAGCCGCTAACTAACTGCTTGCTAGCGCTCTCTTATTAAACGCTACTACACTACTACTACTAGCTGCTACAACCGCCTTACTGCTGCTAGCTATAGCACTAGGAACAGTCTTAGCGCCTTGCTAACGCTTAGCTAAGGTTAGCAACTAGCTGTAAGCTTATTGCTTGCTAGGCGCTGCTAAGAGTAATAGCTAAGGAAAGACTACGGCCTAGTTAGCCTAGGCTAGTTTAACTAAGGCTGCTATAGTCTGCGCAATCCGCTTAGGCGGATCCTTTACTCTTGCTATATAGTGCAACGTGCTGTTACATCCAGCCTAAACAGCCGCTACGCGCTAGGCTAGAGTAAGTATAATAGAATAAGGATCGGCCTAAGTGACAAGTTAGCAATAACTCGCTAATAAGGATAAGAGGACGTGCTATTGCTTTAAGGGTAGTAGCAACTTAGTTCTACGCCTATAATAGCGTGCCTACGTCTAAAGACGTTAGCGGCAAGAGCTAGGCAACCTTTGCCGCCCGCTAGGCAGGCGTTAAGGTTAGCTCTAGCTCCCGCTAGTACTAGTAAAGAACGCTAAGGCGCAAGGCAGCCTACTACGCTATCTTAAACCGCTTACGCTAAGAGCGCTAGTTAATCGCTAGAGGCTCTAGCTTATCTTCTTTTAAAGCGTAGCTAAGCTCCTTAGCTACCGCCGTTAACGCTATTACCCGCTAGGCAACTGCTACGCAATCGCCTAGCGCTATAATAACGTTGTTAGCTATTATTTGCTAAAGTAGCAACTTGTTTATACCGGCTAAAAACTCCTAAAAGTAGCAGGCAAGGCCCTTAATCTCTTTAAAGAGCTATTAGTTAGCGTCTAGCTACTAGCATATATAAGAAGAGCACTTATAAGCAAGCAAGACGCGTTGTTAGCTATATAGCTAGCGTAGCGCCCTAGGTTCTTAGGCGTTACTACGCATAGGAATTTATAATAGACGTCTAGGTAAGCTTTAAGAACGCAATTTAAGCATAGGGCCTACTATAAGGTTAGCTATCGCATAGCGGACGCTATGCCGGCAAAGACCTACGCTTTTAAAAGATAGTGCATATGCCTAAGAAGGGCGTTTTATAAGATCTACCTTTATAAAGAAGTCTATAAGGACTTAAAAACAGCTTTAGTTTAATATTGCCTATAAGCGATTGTTAGCTAGCTGTTATATAAAAACATAAACTATTATACTAACCTACTACGCTAGTAGGTTAAAAAGGACTAAAGAAGTAAGAGTAGTCTTATAAAGTATAAATAAAATCGTTTAAAAAACATAAGATACACCTACTTTTAGTACCCTTAGGTAATAAAAAAGCCGCGTTATTAAACGCCTAAATGCGTCTTAAAAACTTGCTTAACCTTGCTTTAATAACAAGGTAAGAAACGTCTAAAATTAAACAAAAGAACGTCCTAACAGCAGACCGCCTTTGCCATCTAGTAGGCAACAGTTCTATAATCGGCAGGCAACAAACGGCCGCTATTGCCTTTATCCTACCCTGCTAGTAGTTAGAAGTTGCAAGCCCTACGCTGCCGTTTTTAGTTAGTGCGCACTACACCCTAGTACCCCTAGTGTCTAAGGCTAGCCCTCTTTTAACACCTATCAGCGGCAACCTAAGCGTTCTCTAACTAGGATCTAAGCCGCACGCCCCTTAAAGAGCTCCTACAAACCGGACAACCCTTGCATTAGGCAGGATCCGGCGTTTACTGCCGCTATAGACCAAGCAGTACGTGTGCGCTTCTACGTTACCTAAATGCAGTCGCACTAGCAAGCGGTCTGCGACCGCTCGGCAACAGCCAATAACCTAGGGCACTTAACTCTTTTTCCTACCTTATACGGAAGGTTTTTTAATAAGCAAGTAGCTACTACGTGTGCACCTCTAAGCTAACAAGGGCGTTACCTAGAGAGAGGGGGGATAGTGTAAGGGTATTCTATACATGTAACCCTACGCACCGGTTCGGCAACTAGTCGCTTACTAAGCGTTAGACTTAACGAACTATCTTAACGTGTTGCATAGGACTAGCACAGCCACTAAGCTGCGCTACGCCTTATTAGGGTTGCGCTACACCGCATCTTCTAGCCACGTATAAATTAACTAGCAAGCCTTCGCCTACTAGTCCCCTATAGTTCGTTAAGTTAAAGTCTTAATATAATAGTATAAACTAGTTAAGCCTTTGTAACTATGCATTACGCACTAGCCTTTTACATAAAGCAATTTGCTTTAAATATGTTTTTGCGATATATATAGCTTTTAGTTATTAATTTATTTAAAAAGAGTAAAGTAAGCTTTTTTTAATTTATTATTAGTAAAGTAACCTAAGGCTTACATTAAAAGGCATGCTAAAAAAAAGAAAAGATAGCCTGCACTAGTTGCTTACTAGGTGCGCGTTTAGAGCTAGGCTAGTATTAATACTCTTAAAAGTATTAATAATATAGCTTTTATATTTATTAAAAACTAGTAGCTACTACTACTTTATATTATTTAGCTTAGTAAAAGGTAAAAAGATAAAAGTAGGCTAGTTAACTATAAGTTTCTTATTACTTTAGCTTAAGTTAATTACTATAAAAAACTAATTATTATATTTATTTTTAAAGAAATTAAGAAAGTACTATTACTAGACTAACTTACTAGTAAATATAATATAAAAAAGAAAAGCTTTACTAATAGCTTAAATGCACTTAAATATTAATATATAAATTTAACTTTTTACTACTAATATAATCTTTAAGCTCTTCGTAGCCTTACTAATAACTAAGCTATTTACCTTAAAGCCTTTAGCAAGCTTTGTCTTATCTATATAATACTAGTATTTAAGAGGAAGGTTATAAATAGTTAAGTGTTAAAGGGTAGTAAAAATTATACGTATATTTAACTTAAAAGCACCGTTAGCATAAAGTTTTTTAATAAAAGTCTTATATAAAGTCTTAATCTCTAAATGCCTTGCAAATATTCTAGTTTTCCATAACTCCCTAAGCCGTTATAGGCGTCCTTTTATAGCTAGCAAAAGCTGCGCAACACTAAGCATTTAGCTGTATGTAAAAGCAAGCCCTAGCTGCGCCTTAACAGTTATCCAGTGCACGCTTTCTTTTTATATTATTTAGGTTGTTTTTTGCATAAACAAGCATTATAAAGACGATGCATAAAAAATTAGCTAGCTAGAGCTGTTTTTAGCGCTGCGGCAGGTGCGTTTTACTTTAACTGGCAAGGTAATAAAGAGAGTGAAATCAATCTAATTATTGGTTGAAAGTAGGGGGTGGTTAAAAGGGGGGGTGACGGACTTACCCTCTTAACCTCTTTAATAAGCATGTAAAAAAGAAGATCTACACCTAAGGCTATATATAGTGCTAGGCTAAGTAACGATATTTAAATCGTTACTAAAGCTAGTAACCTTAAAGTAAGCAGCGCTAAAGCATGTAGCGCTAGTGCTACTGCTACTTATACTATTACTAGTGTTAGTAACTAGTATAAGATAGCATTCTACTACGTAAAGCAAGCTTTATTAGCTGCTTAGTAAGCCTTAATTTCGTCTTTAATTAACTAAAAATAAGCTTTTTAATCTAATAGCTAGTTAAAAAGGCAGCCTAAAAGCTAAGAGCTAAAGGGCTAAAGAGTAACTTTGATTATAATGTTACTATTACCTTTATTACTCAGCCTAGGAGCTCTAGGCTCTACGGCGGCGGCTCTTTTAGGCGGCATAATGGTAAAGAAGAAAGGTTTAAACAAATCGTTTAAAATGCAAAAAAATCGTATAAATGCCGGATTTGCTAGAAAAGAAGCAGCAAATTCGGCTTTTGCTAATTAAAGCAGTAGATCTTATATCTAGTAGATACTAGTATAAAAAACCGATTGTTCGTAGCTTTTACTCCGTGCACTACTAGTCTGTCGCGCGCTACTTTGTGTACGCGCGATATTAGTGTAAGACCTGTACATTAATCCTTATAGGATATTTATCCGGACTAGTTGCACGTATCGTAGTAAGCCCTAAGGCCTTTAGAAGATCTAGTAATAAAATCTCGTAGGGTGGTTGACTAAAGCTCCAGACTGTGCGCAGTATGTGCGCATAGATTAGGGCTTCGTCTTATCTAGTGATTTCGGCGGCCAAGGTCAGGTCAGGTGACCTCGGAGAAATCCACACCACCCAGTATTTCGGACGATTTACGGAGTACTCCGTACTTCGTATAAATTTTTAAAACTTGGCTCGAAGCTCGAACACTCGCCCGGCTTTCTACCCGTGCCACGCCCCACCTCTACAATTCCCATCAACGTCCTTCTTTTAAATTTTACTGGTCTCGGGTTGTTAAGAATTCCAATCTCGCTGTAATATCACCGGCTCTGCCGCGTCTCTATTGATCCTCATCGCCCTCCTTTACGACGTACGCAATCGAAACAGCGAGGCACCGCCGTCTCCTTCCCATTTCTTGATCTCGCTTAACTGCATCGACACAACCGCAGTAATGGGTTTCGGCGATTTTACAGGCCTTTGCCACACGGCGCCGCTGCCTCTGTGCCTGTCTGTTGGGCCCATCGCGTCAATATCGTCCGGCGTGGGCATTGAGCCAACCTGCTTTGCCAGAAATATTGAGGTAGCGAATACAATAATTTTTCAAGGAGCAGCCAGCGCCATGCATATTCTCGCCCTTCTGATGACTGTGGCGATGATACTTCACGTCCGTGGGAAGTTTACTGCCGTCGGTAGGTATACGTTCCCATTGTCACCCCAGTGGAAACGTCTTTGTATTTGGCGCACCGCTTTTAGGGAGATGAGGCCTTGCACTGACTTGTTGACACTCAGGCCGAAAGGAGATCACATCATTTTTCTACATATACATGCTTCTCACATTTACATCTCTCTGTGTTGATGCTGGCGTTGTCCCCCCTGGCTCAAGTCCATATCCTTATTTTGTTTCCATACAGAATGGTTTCTCTTCTGCCCTTGTTACATGTCTCCTGATCAACGGGTTTGTGGGCTTCCAATTATACGAAGACGGCACGCCGCTTTCGCTCTGGATGATGCGCCTGTGTTCCGTTGCCGCTTTCATTATCTCTTTTCTCGTCTCTCTAGCAACTTTTAAGTCATGGGCTGGACTTGGGCCCACAAACACCGTCGGCCTTTTCGTTGTGCTGTACTTGCTTAATGCCATACAACTGTTTGTGTACGTGGTACTGCAGATTTTGTTAATAGCCCGCACATTGCAAGATCGGTGGCCTCTCGGTAATATCGCTTTTGGCCTCTTTTTCTTTATTGCCGGCCAAATACTTCTGTATGCGTTTAGTTCGCGGATCTGTGTAGCCATTGGCCATTATCTCGACGGTCTCTTTTTCGCTACAGTCTGCAATCTCTTGGCAGTAATGATGGTCTACAAGGCACGTTTGCGCATCTCTCCACCTATCTAATTTTCAATGATACTAACAAGATCTGCGGGATAGTACTGGGACTCGATTACGAAAGAAGATCTGGAATTTTCTGTAGGCACCCGGATGAACAACTGGGAGGTCAAAGAGCTCCTGCCAGAAGAGGACCGGCGAGGCACAATCCATACAGAAGACCCGTACGGGCAATCAAGCTCTTTTGATCATCCTTATTCGCCAGCGGCGAATCGGTACTCGAGATACTAGATCAAATTAACAGATTGTCTGCGTCTGAGTCTACCTTCCCTCTCATGACCTCTAGGGCGCAAGGTAGTTAGTTATACACGGGCGTTACCCAAGGGTCGCTACCTTAGGTTTATGGTATTACATACCTCTGCATATGGGTCACGGAACTATGGAGCTGCGCAGTACGGCGTATTTAGGGAGCCTGCTCGTTTAGGTATGGCCGGAGTAAGTGATTACATTTTACATCTCTACACGCCTCTTGTTGGAGAATAGGTAATTGTGGCACATGCCTCTGGCGTTCTGCTTTAGCATACTTATTTCCTTTAGTTCAAAGAGTAGTTTCTTCTCTATCTCTCTAGGGTTCCATACTATATACTATGTACGGAGTATAGAATAGACATAGGGGAACAAACCTATACAAGATCGCCACTCAAATGAATTAGTAGCAAAGATACGGAGTAGCGATTTGAAGTGTATATGTCGTACCCGTGCCACGCCCCACCTAAATTGGTCGCGAAAACGCGAACCACCATAGGTGGTGCTAGACAGATTTTAAATCAGACAGATTTTTAATCACCCTTAAGCATTGTTACCACGAAGAAAATTCATAACTAATTGAAAAAAAAAATGAATATTTCAACAAAAGAGGCACGTTAAGCGCAACTAGACGAAGCGATTACCTACTCTAGAAATCGCCCGGTGTATTAGTGCGCTAGGTAGTAAAAGAATATAGTGTCTTAAACTCTACCTTATTGCTACAGCTTTAGATTAAAAAACAGTTTGCTTTGACAATACGCAGGCTTACTAGCCTAGAAGAGACGGCTAATTATTAATATATTAAACGGCTAGAGGCTGTTAACCTTGCTATTCAAAAGCAATTTGTTACTAACGTAGCAAATAACCTTTTAACTAATTAACTACTTTTTACTAAATATACGCCGATTAGTAATATTTAAACTTTACACTTTTTATAAAGGTATAAGATTATACTTATACGCTAATCGATAATTAACGTAAAGCGTAAAGTATAAGAAGATATTACTATAGTTAAAGGTTATTATTAATAATAGTATTATAATAAAGGATATCTAGAATATAAAATTAAAGTAGCTTTTAAATTAAAGTAGGTAACAAATAACTAGTAATAGTAAAATAACCTAAAGCATAGTATCTTACTATGCTAGAAAGCAAAGAGTTTACTAATAGTAATTAAAGCAATTTTATCTAGTAAATGCTATATACTAGCTTTTTAAATTTTATCTAGTAAAACGTATATATGTAGATAGTTTATTTATAAGGGTTAGTGTGTAATGTATAATTTTAAAGGCTTTAAACGTGTTTATACTTATGTATTAAGACTTTAACTTAACAAACTATAGTAGACTAGTAAGCGACGGCCTACTAGCTAATTTATACGTAACTAGAAGATGCAGTGTAGCGCAACCTTAGTAGGGCGTAGCACAGCTAAGTAGCTATGCCGGTCCCGTACAACGTGTTAAGATAGTTCGTTAAGTCCGCCGCTTAGTAAGCAACGGGTTGCCGAACCGGTGCGTAAGGACGCGTGTGTAGAATACTCTTATACTATCCCCTCTCTCTTTAGGTAACGCCCTTGTAAGCTTAGAGGTGTATACGTAGTAGCTACTTGCTTGTTAGAAAACCTTTTTGTATAAAGTTAAGAAAAAGAGTTAAGTGCTTTAAATTATTAGCGGTTGCTAAGCGGTTGCGGACTACTTACTTATATAACTATATTTAGGTATATAGAAGCGTATATATACTGCTTAGTCTATAGTAGTAGTAAACATTAAATCCTGCCTAATATAAGGGTTGTTTTATGCGTAGAAGCTTTTTAAGAGGCGTGTAGCTTAAATCCTAGTTAGGAAACGCTTAGGTTGTTGCTAATAGGTGTTATAAGAGAGCTAGCCTTAAATACTAAGTATATAAGAGTATAGTATACTCTAACTAAAAATAGTAGTATAAAGCTTAAGACTTTTAATTATTAGTAAAGTAGAATAAAGGAATTAGTAGCTGTTTATTACTTACTAATTATAGCATTATTACTAACTAAATAGTAAAGGTAGTTTGCTACTAAGCTGTTTCCTTATTTAATTTTAAACGTTTCTTACTTTATTATTAAAGTAAAGTTAAGTAAGTTTTTAAGATATATTAAAACGATTAATATTATAGCTTCTTTATTACTTTAAGGTATAAAAGAGTAGGTATATTTTATAGTTTTAAAACGAATTTATTTATACTTATAAGACTACTTTTACCTTTTTAGCCTTTTTTCTTTAATTTTACTAGCGTAGTAGGTTAATATAATAATTTATAACTTTATATAGTAGCTAGCTAATAATTGCTTATAATTAATATTTAACTAAAGCTACTTTAGCGGATAATAGTTAATAATATTATTATAGCAATAAGCAATTACGTAGTAATTGCTTAAAGGTTAATAGCCTTAATAGTAATAACTAAGAAACTTAGCTATACCTTATAAAAAGATAAGTTAAAGCCTTTAGTAACTAATTAATACTTTTAGCGTAAACGTTTTAAGATAGTATAATAGGCTATATAACGCCTTAGTATCATTTACTAGTACTAGTAAAAGCTAAAGCTTACCTTAACGCTTATATAATAATTAGCAAAGGTAGCTTAGCTTTTACTACTAACGTTTTTAAATATAGGCATACTATTATAGGCGTAAACTTAAGTTACTACTATCTTTAAAGTAATAGCAAGTCTTTTAATCTTTATTATTAAGTTATTACTAACTTATTACTTAGGCCAAATCTTATTCTATTATGCTTAGCCTAGCCTAGCGCGCTATAGCTGTTTAAGCTAGCTATAGCAGCACGCTTTACTACACTATAAAAGTAAAAGGGCTTCTTAAGCGGATCTTATAGACTATAGTAGCCCTAGTTAAGCTAGCCTAGATTAACTAGGTAGTAGTCTTTCCTTAGCCGCTACCTTTAGCGGCGCCTAGTAAGCGATAGTCTTATACTAAGTTGCTAACCTTAGCTAAGCGCTAGCGTAGCGCCAAGACCGTTCTTAATACTATAGCTAGCAATAGTAAGGTAGTTGTAGTAGCTAGTAGTAGTAGTGTAGCGGTATCTAGTAAGAGTGCGCTAGCAGGCAGCTAGTTAGCGGCTAGTAGTAACTATATACTAGCTAGCAAAGGCTTGCCTAGTAATAAAAAGAGGAATAAGAAGGATAGTATTAAGAAAAAAGATAAAAGAGTAAAGAGGACGTTTATAAAAAAGGATAGTAATAAGTAGCTAGTAGCTAAGCAATAGCTTGCTAATAGTATGTTTTAAGTTTATAGCTTTAAGAAGCGCCCTTAAAGCTAGAATAAGTAGTTTATAGTATACAATTGTATAGAAATAGCAAGAGTAGTCGACTAACGATTAGCTTGCATATAGCTAGCCGTTACCTTATAGTCTTCTTATCTCTTATAAGTGCGTTTTATAGTCTTTTAGTAAGACTATAACTTATAGCTAGCATACACTAAATAATTTTCTAGTTCCTAGGTATTATACTTAGCTAGCTAGCCTTTCTATTTTACTAGGAACTAGGTCTACAACCCTTTATTAAGGTTTCTTTAAGAACTTTTTATAGCACTTTTTCTTTTAAAAGGTTAATAACTTTTATAAAAAAAGGTTAAGTGATTAAAATACTTTAACCTAAAAGGCTTAATAAGAGATAGTCTTAATTACTTATATAAGCATAACTAAAGGGTAAATACGTTTAATATATTAATCGTTTTATATAATAGCCTACTTTTAGTTAAATAATAAATATAAAAACAATTCTACTTTTTACTTAGTAAGGTTATTACTAATTTAGTTATTTATTTTAGCTAGGCGTTTTAGAATAAAGCGTTAACCTTTTAGTTATATGCTAAATTTAAAAGTAATATAAATATTAAATTCTTTTCTAGTAAGTTATAAGTTAGGCTAGACTTTAGCTAAGCAAAGTGCTTTTTAGTTTATAGCCTTTTTTAAGATAAAGCTATCTAATAAAGGAGAATTAATAGGTATAACTTTTCTATCTTTTTATTTATAAAAAATATTAGTATAAATAATTTCTTACTAGTCTTTATTTAAGCTGCTTAAGCAGCTTAGTCAATATAATTCTATTAAGCGTTTAAGATTATTATCTTGTTAAAGTAAGTGCTATTCTTATTTTTATATTAACTAAATTTATATATAAAGTATAGGTTTAGGCAGCGTGTATAACGCTAGCGTTATAAGTATTATAATAGCGTAGGTAATGCTAACGTACTTAAGAATAGTATCTTTCTTTAATAAAATAGATAGATTTAAGATATTTAGCTTACTAGTAAATAAGCTTAGTAATTTACTAGCAGCTACTTTAAAGACTTATTAGTCTTTATTCTTACTTAAGTAAGCCTTCTTAATAATATAATAACTTAAGTATTTTTAACTAGTATATTACTATAGACTTCTTACTTATTATTATATAAGAAGAAAAGCTTTATATTAAGTATAAAGAGTACTTTTAGTAAGAGTGTTTTCTTAGATACCCTTAAAGGTATAATAAATAAGTAAATATAGATTGTATATCTACTAATCTATATATTTATAATTGTTTCTTTTATAAATTAAACTTACGTTTAGTAAAAACATTTTAAAACAAAGTTAGTAGGTATAATAAAAAGGTTAAGGCTTTTTATAGCATTAAGTAAGATTTTATTAACTTATAAGCTACTATTTAAGATAGCTTTAATTAACTAATACTCTTTATTCTTAACTTTAATATTTAAGATAGGTAGCCGGCTAACTTAAGTTAGTTTACATTCTTTTATTTACTTAAAGAATAATGTTAGAAAGTTTATTATATTTTCTACCTAGTTAGGAAGAGTTATTCTAAGATGCTTAAGATTAATAAGTATTATTTCTCTCTTTAGTATAGTTTAAAGCGTACTAAATGCTTTATATATATTAACTTATATATTTAGTAGCTTACTTTAGTTTTAAAAAGGTTTATTAATAATACAATTA